GTGAATTTGTAGTCATCATTACTGTTTAATTTTTTCATACTTACCTTTTCGTTAGAGAAATGTTCAGTGCTTAATTATTTTAGTAAATGTGAGTATCATTGCGTGTTGCCAGTGAATCTGATACGTGGTCCTTTTAGTGTTCGCTGTATGAGGGACCTCAATGTTGCTCAGCGAGCTATGAAGAATGCTATTATTATCGGGGTTTCTCTGTATGATGGACTTAGAAATGGGTATATCCGCAATAAAACCAGAGCAACTGACATAGTCCAACGAATTACTAAGCTGAAGTGGCGCTGGGCTGGCCATGTAGCTCCAAGAACCGACAACGGATGGGGAAGAAAGTTTTTCGAACTAGTTAAGTGTAAGCAAACTATAGGGCGGCCCCACTTTAGATGGAATGAGAACCTGGTAAGACATGCAGGAAGTCGGTAGATGCTGGTGGCTCAGGACCTTTTTAGGACTTGTATGTTCAGCAGTGGACTTGTGCAAGGCTTTAATGACGATGAGGAAGAGTACTTACCCAATTTTTTATGGAACCCTTAAAAGTGTGTCCTACTCGTACTTGACTAGTTTTTTTACTATGCTGATAATATAAACAATTTTTACAAAAATAGTATAGGAAAAATAATACAGTATTTCACTATAAGATTAAATTTTCTGAGGTCTTTTCTATATTTTAGTTGCATAGCCGATGTCAATCGCGTCCATTTTCACGACAACGCTTTTTAACAAATAAAACATGAAAGCTTCCTCAATAAAATATATTATATTTCAAATTTAAAGCTTCTATATAGTACAATAAACTTTAAGCTTTAATATAGAGTCATTGTGTGTTTTCCCATCGCAACTAAATGAAGAGATATCACGAATTGTAATGTAGCATTGTTTAATTCTCTAAAATAAGTTAATGGAGACTTATTAAACCGGACATTGTTAGAATAGGGATTTTATATTAATTTTTAATATGAACTCTTTAATTATAATACTATATTATTTTGCCTACTGCACTGAACTTATTTCTGAACCTTAAGTCGACTACCAACTAAAGTGAACATTTGTGTAAAAATACGTACCTATTGTTAGTTTTCTCAATCAACAGCAAAATAACTTCCATCTACTAAGACAGGCTAGCAATAGTCACACACTGCCGGTTTCAAGTTTGACAATAATAAGAACATAATGATTTAACGATTGATAAATATATATAGAATAAGAATAACATTGATGAAAATGTAAAGATTGTACAATTTTTTATAATAATAATAAATTTCAAAAATTTCCAGACATACAAGTTTCCTCACGATGAATCTTCGGATCGATATTTGGTTGCGCACTTACTTTGATAATTACGGCAAGCGCTTATATATATATATATATATATATATATATATATATATATATATATATATATATATATATATATATATAATAGATAATGTGTAGGTATTGACGGTAGGCTCACCTGATGGTAAGTGACTACCGCCGTCCATGAACAACCGCAACACAAAGGGAACCAGGGGAATTGCAGATGCGTTGCCGGCCTTTTAAAAAGGAGTAGGCTCTTTTCTTGAAGGTCCCTAAGTCGTATCTGTCCGGAAAAATCGCTGATGGTAATCGATTCGACAAGGAAGTCGTGCGAGGAAGAAAACATCTTCTAAATCGCACAGTGGTGGACCGCCAATCATCCAGATGGTGTGGATGGTATCGGGAGTTCTGCCGCGATGTGCGTTCGTGAAATTTGGCGGCTGGGATTAATCCGAACAATTCCTCAGAGCACTCTCCGTAGTAAATGCGAAAGAAAATGCAAAGAGATGCAACATCTTTTCACAGCGCCAATGAATCGAGCCGATCGGAAAGGACTTCGACGATTCGAGCCGCTGTGCGCTGGATGCAGTCCAGTGGAAGGAGCTAGCACTGAGGAGCCCCAGCCCAGAGATAGGAACAGTATTTCATGTGAAGCCATTCCTGCGCCTTGAAAAGTTGCAGGCGTTGTGCCGGCATGAAATACTGTCCCGCTCTGCTGAGCACGTCAAGCTTTTTAGAGGCCAATTAACATTGAAACTTCAAATGTTTGACATTCGCTACTGCGATATAGTTTATAATCTCACTATTAGCTGAAACCAATATCCGTTTGATGTAATAATGATAACAACAATATTTGAATAAAGAAATAAAAAATCATGCCACTATACTGCAACATCATGAGGTTAAGTTTTTTTCATTATTATTAAAAAATAAGTACATTTGAAAGCCGAATGTTAAACTAAAGTTAAGAAGTACTAATTTATGTACTTGTATATGTTACGGCTAAAAGCCGAAGTGCGGATACACCTAGTTTTACCCGGCTACTACTAGGTGCAGCCTATTGTGGTTTGTTAAACTTAGATGTATTATATATGATTTATAAATTAGATCAATGGCTGCGGTTTAATTTAATAAATTTTTAGCCGTAATAAATTAGTTACCTAAAAATAGTAGACTAAACCCTAAAGTTTCACCCTATGATCATTATAATGTATAGATAATAAAATGTGGGGAAAAAACAATAAAGATTGTTATTATTATTATTATTAAAAACTTGTACGCGGCTTGTGCCAACTGCACCTTAAACTGCTGTCGCTGTTGTAACAGTACACCTATATTTAACCAACTACTGCTGGCCGCAACTAGTTCTAGCCGGCTAGAACTTGATGTAACCTCATTACGGCTTTCAGCCGAAACATATATACTAATAACTATTTTACAAAATTAAAAGCTGCGGTCGAAAAGCTGCATGACGAGCGTGACAACTGTATAAAAATATAAACTTGAAATTTTAATAAAAATTTACTTCAAAACCCTAAAAGAAATAAAATAATTTCCACATATACATCATAGGCTATTTTTTATAACTGGTTTAAGTATTTTTATAATACTTCTATGGAGGTGGTAGGGTAAGGTGTAAAGAGTAATTGCTTTTTCTTCTTATAATACGCCAGTGATTGATCACAATACCACCGGGTGATAAGTGGTGATTGGACTTGCGTTTTATATAAGGTAAGAATCTACCCCGGCTTGAAGTACTGCCGCACCCTTGCAAGGACATCAAGTTTCCATGCGAGCCTTTGGCTATTCAATAACATAGACTCAATGAACCGCCCATAGTTGAGATTCGGATTAAATTCAATCCCTAACAACTAAAGACGGTCAGTGTACTCCAAAGATACATTTCGGACAACCCTCCACCTCCCATGGCCCCACTAACCTTACGGTTATACGGGCCGAATCTCGAGAGATGCACACGGTACTTGCTCAGGCTACATGCTCTTTCCCGCGTACACTTTCTTGACTCTCTACAAGTTATTTACTGTACTCCTTGTCCCGTTGTGTCATTCACCCTTTCTGGGCTGGACAAACACAGCACGACTTCGGTTCCGGGCTGGTCTTCATTTGTGAAGGCGCATCTCTCCATGGCAGTCCTCCTTGCGTGCCAACCGTGCGCAAACTCACGCAGCCGGCCAAAGCTCTCCTGAACGTCCACGAGATCCGGGTAGTAAGCCGGACCAATCTTTCCGCGTACCATTCCATCCATCATCTTACACCGCAGGTCGTCATAAAGCATACACTCCCACAGAACATGGTGCCTATCCTTGTAGGCCGCTCCACACTCACACATACTCAACTTCATATCAAACAATCTCTTCCTGAAACATCCATGCCCACTGAGGATCTGTGAGACTTGATAGTCTGGCACGATCCAATTTGCATTGAGTCGCGCCGCCACGTCCGGTAAAAAGCAGAATAATTCTCTACCATTCGTCTCGTTCGTCCATCATTTCTTCCATAAATCCATAACTTCAACCCAAATTTCGCGCTTACGCCTGCTCAACTCCCCATTCTCTACGTTTCTAGGCGCCTGGTCAATCCTACCAACACGAGTTACCTCTAGATCGGCCGGCAGGACGCCAGCTAATACCGGGAGCGCCGCAGTACTTATCGTCCTGTACCCCTTTGTCAACAGCACGAGCGAAGATCTCTGCGATCTCAGCAGTGCCGTGCGCACTGCATAATTCCCCACCCGATCAACCCAAACGGTTGCAGCATATGTCACAATTGGAACATATGCACACTTATACACGGAGGGCGGGGTAGCGCATGCCCCAAGAAGATAACCGACACCCGCGACATCTTCCCAAAGCATCTCCCAGCCCTCTCTCCCATATCTTTGGCGTGCTGAATAAAGAACAAACTCGTGTCTAACGTGGCACCCAATACTTTAGTCAACATTACACTTTTTACTGACTCCGTCCCCATCCTTATAACAGGTGGTTGCTGGAACTTGCCTTTAATAGTCATGGTACATGACTTCACGGAATGGAAGGATAACCGGTTCCTCTCTCCCCACGATGATACCAACTCCAGTGCAGATTTGACCGCTCTCTCTATTTCAGCTCTAGATTTCGCCTCTATCAAAAGTATCACGTCGTCTGCATACGCCAACATTTTCGTCCCTAAGGGGAACGGCAGCCTCAACAAATCGTCCAGCAGTAAATTCCACAAGGTCGATCCAAGGACTGATCCATGCGGGCAGCCCATGGTCGAGCGTTTCCATTCGGCACAGTCACCCACGAATATACCCACTCGCCTGTTGGTAAAATAGTCCACCAACATGCGGTAGATGTTAGATGGAATCCCTCCTTGTTTGGCCTTCAACAGTATCATTGGCCACCATGCATTATCAAATGCTCCCTATATGTCCAAGAAGACGGCTTGTACATACTTGCGCTGCGACTCGCGCGCAGTACTAAGGACGTCTTGCAGCGCCGTTACCGTGGACCGACCCGGCGAAAACCCGTGCTGGTATTCCGTTATGCCCCTCACCAAGCTCGGAGCACACCGCAATAGAACTCACTCCAGCAACTTCGGACGAGAATTTCCGTGAACTGCGCGCAGAGTCGGTCAGCCGGCTATTGAACTTTCAGATTTACCATTCTCAAGTGAATTGTACCGAGAAAATAGCGTCAGTCAACCTCCCGGTCCCGAAAACGGACAGACACCTCCACCGGCCACGCAAGCTCCACATGACGCTCTCTCGCAACCTTGAACGTGGTGAGACGATGGTCGCTCATGCTGGTGCAATCCAGCACTCGCCATCCTGATGCGTTGACACCTCTCGCCCCGAGGGTTAGGTCGATTTTTGACTCACCCATGGCTCCAGCGAACGTGGGCGGTTGTCCCTCCACATTGGCCAGAGTGAGCCCTCGCGACATGATGAAGTTCTCCATCATCCTCCTGCGATGCTCTGCTTCATTTCCTCTTCCCACTATTTGTGCTCTGTCACTGTACCAGAGCGGCGAGTGCGCGTTGCTATTAACTCCGATGACAACGCGCTTGCCCTTTAACTGGTCAAGTATGGTCTCTAGGTGTTGGAGATGTTGGTCGATTGAGTCGCTGTACTTAAAGTACGCAGAGATAAGGTAGAGACCATACTTCTCCACATGGCAAACAACGCAGTGGGAGTTACTAAGATGTGGCAGTCCAGCCACACCCATGTGCTCTCCTGGGATCATAATCGCTGCCTGGGGCTCCGCACCAAACTGAATTCAGTCTTCAGACTGGGCCCACTGCTCCTGAATGAAAACAATGTCCAGGCCAAGGCTGCACGCCAGTGCAGTACGGTATATTACAGTACAATACATTTCGGACAGTAGGAGTTAGGATGAGCGGGCTTCCTTTAGCGGTGAAAATAAAAAATGAAACTAAGAATCACGAATTTAACTTGTTCCATATAGCGCATCATTCCTCCCCCCCCCCCCCTCGCTTAGACCGCAGATCAATAGTGCAGTCTAGATGTCGACGAATGTGCAAATGACAGGAATTGCCTTGTAGTCTACGGTGAGTGGAGAAAAAGGCATTCAATTTTTGAGAGTGTCGTGAAGCAGAGGCGAGTAGTAAGATTCAGAGCCATGCCGAACACTGTAGCGCAGAAAATAACTTGAAGGAACAGGGTGCATTACTCCAGTGCTGCGATGGACCTTGTAAATTATCTGAAGACTGCAGACAATGTCTGCTTGGGAGCGAATAGGTGGGGAACTTGAAGACGATGACGAAAGCTTGAAGTTACCGGTTTAAGCCAACTCTTGAGCGAAAAATTCAACGCCAGTGACAAGATTAAATCGTTTACGATATAATGAAAAGTGATAACTATGATTGCAAAACGAAGGTACAGCTGACTGTTTGGTAGGTACTTAGCAGATGAGCAAACTCCAATAAAATATCGCAGTTCGTGAAGCAAACAGAAACAGTTAGAATAATTTAAAAATATATTATTAAAAAATATGAAAAAATAATTATTTCCATAGCATAATGTCATATGGAATTCTGATATGAGGTAATGTGACTGACATTGAAGCTATCTTTGTTTTGCAAAAGAGAGTGATAAGAGCAATTTATAACCTAGGTCCGAAGGGATGCCTTGGAGAAAAATTAAAGAAATAAATATATTAACCTTGGCCTTTTTTTATAGGATAGGGTGACAAACGAGCACACAGTCCACCTGATGGTAAGTGGTTACTGTGACCTATAGACATCTACATCTATCCTCAATAAAGACTCAAGATGCAGATGCGTTGTCACCCGTGAGGACTAAGATGGAATGCCTCTTTGCCAGTAAAAAGGGTCTCCGGTTCTCTACACTCACCATACGAAACACAGCAGCGTTAAGCTGCTATAATACGCTGGTTTTCTGTGAGAGCGTGGTCCTTCCCCGGTCTAGCCGACCCATTCGTGCTACAACTATACTACTAATATGGCTGCAGCATGGCTCTACAACGTATAGCTCTCAATATATTTACGAACATTTAATGTATGTACATAAAAAGAAAAATAATTTTATTAAAATAGTAATGTGCATTCTGTAAATACTAGGAACAAGTACAAGTTAGTTATCCCCTCATGTGTCATGACGCTCGCAAGGGGTTGACAGCTTATGCCCGCCTGTGTGTCAGCCGACCATGTGAGCCCATTTGGCAATTAAACACGCCTTGTCTTTAATCTATGTTGTTCAAAGATAAAATGTTGTTTTAATCTTTGAACAACATAGATTAAAGACAAGGCGCGTTTAATCGGTAAACTAGCATTAATAGTACACCAGTTGGAGAACGACTCATCTACATATATCAGTTGCCGGCTACCAAACAACTAACTTGCTTAGCAGGCAAATACTTAATCTGGACAAGCCGAATTGTAGCATGAACGTCGTAGAGTTGTGTTAAAAGTTAGACAAAGCTATCGATCCTTTCGTCAATGTAAGCTCCAGTAAGAACAACAGTCAATCATCGCCGCATCATCTCTCAGACGATCTAAATCCATACAATCAAAGTTACGCAGCAGGAGGATTCTCGATTTAGGTTTAGGTAGTCGTAATTTGTATGAAAAGTAAATCAAGTCGTGATATTAAAATGCATCAGCAGGACCCTAACCATGTTTATCAACACGATCAACGGAAGAAACAAGAATAAGGTCCAGAAGAGTTGGGATACAATTTAGAAAAAATTGAGTAGCAAAAAGAGGGAGAATATGTAGGTTAGCTGCTTGAACTATAGATTTCAGTCGAAAGGAGTGCGAGTTACTTTTTAGAAGGCACGTGTTAAAATCACACAAGATAATAGAGTGCTTATACAGGGTGTTTTTGGAACGCTCCCGAAAACTAAGACAGGCGACAACACCAAGTATACCTTTGATCATGGGTCACAAATAAATTCGATCCTGATGAAAAAAAAATCATCTTTTTACAAGGTTTTATTAGCTTTATTCACGCGCCATCATGTTAGTACAGCTAAATGAAACGATAATTTCATAAAAAATATCATGAAAATACTGAAACATAAAACCAGCAGTGGAATGACTGAATTGATATCACCTGACCTGAGCTAGATAAAGGTCAATGTACGCGCGAACACAAATTCGCGCGGCCCGCAACTAGCGGGCCATCCCACAATATAATAATTTACAACACGTGTCTAAATACCTAACTTATCTACTTAACCTACTATTTTGCCACTGTGCTTATCTCCACGTAGCCACTTTAATCCGAATTTACAGGTTAAATAACCCAAATAACTGGTTCGATTCCCCGCTAATGAAGAAATACTTAAATGAAATGTAACCAAGGTTGGAGTCATGCGTTTTTATTCATCGTGTAGGTATGTTTATTATTCTCATGTATTCAGTTATGTACCTATTCAGATTAGTCTAGTACTAAGTTATTTAAAAAAAAATAGTTATGAAACAGCTTACTGCTCTAAATCCTCCGTGGTCTTATGAGATGCGGCTCAAATTGTGCTCCATTCATTTCAAGGCAGATTTGGGTGCAGGCGGGGCATCATCGTGTGGTCTTCGACACAGTCCGTACGTAGTTTCTCGAAAGCATCCACGATCCTTTGGCGCATTTCTTCAGCACTATCACATTCACGATTAAAAACCCTTTCTTTCACATACCCCACAAAAAGAAGTCTAACGGAGTCAGATCTGGTGAGCGAGGTGGGCAAGCGTGTGGTCCTAGTCTGCCGATCCAGCGATCATCAAATAGCTCATTGAGGCGCTCACGGACGAACCTCACGAAATGTGGAGGGGCACCATCATGTTGGAACTATGTGCGGCGATATTCAGCCAACGATAGGTCGTTTAAAATGTCAACCAACTGTTCATTTATAAAGTTTAGGTATCGCTGTCCATTCAGTCGCTCTGGCAGAAACACTGGTCCCAGTATGCGATCCTTAAATAAACCTGCCCATACGTTAACCGACCATCGGGTTTGGTGCCCGGTTTGTCGAACAGCGTGCGGGTTAACCTCTGAATACACGTGTGTATTTCTTCGGTTCCACAGGCCGTTTCTGGTAAATGTCGACTCATCCGTCCAGATAATGTGCTCAATGGAACCAGGCACACGTTGTTGCTGGTATAATAACCAACGGCAGAAAACTCGTCGGCGGTCGTGATCGCCGGGAACTAAAGCTTGCACTTTGTGCAATTTGTATGGGCGCATTGGTTACGCTTCAACACTTTGTGCACTGCACAGTATGACACACTTGTTCCATCCCGACGTCTTAACAATTTATTTAGCGATACTTCGTGTACCTAGGTTCGGATACCTAACATGTTGACCACTATAAACGTACGCGTTAGGCATTATTAAAACAAAAAAGAATCCAAAAACGTAACAAAAACTTTAATATCAACACGTAATCACAAGTAAATTTATTAAACAAAACGATTGAACTGTCGCTCGCGCACGCGTGTACAAAATCAACACGGAACTATCTCAAAAACTAAAACGAACGAACCCCGTCAAGGCTGAAACCTACTGCGTCACAAGCGTGAGGCGACAGGGTTAGGCATTCTGCCGTCATAATAAAAAAGGAAGTAACTAACAAAAACGTAAAATGGAAATAAAAAATAAATTGATGAATTTTTCTTTCAGACCCCGTGTCTAAAGTATATAAATAATAAAAATAATAAAATAGCTTTTATTGTTTCCTTACTTTACATTTCGCTTTTACATTTTGTTTAAGTAATACACAATCAGCAGTACATTTCTAATTTAGGTGCTTAAGACTAACATGCACAAAATTAATACTTATATGTTTAGTTTTAGCAAACAGTATAGGTGATGTTGTACAGTTTTAGTAGTTATGGCAAATGTATGATGGAACGTTAATGACAGTTCAATAAACACAAGTTGATTTAATAATCATTTAACAATTTATTAATTCTTACATCTTTTTGCTTCCAATTGTACGCATCTGTTTGCAAAATCATACTTTCTATGTCTAAATCTGTTCTACATTTGTCAACATTTGTAACATTTGTCTAACAATAGTTATACAATTTTATCATACCACATATGAAACATCTATACCACCACTACTGTTGCCTTAGTGCTGAGTAATATGCTACAATTATTAAGACTATTATTCTATTCTATGTAAGGACCGCTAAGCGGTAAAAGCCTCCTCCAAGACTTTCCAATTGGCTCGGTCTCTAGCCAACCTTGTCCACACTCTCCCTGCTACTTTAACTATGGGATCGTCCCATCTTTTGAATGGTCGTCCTTTTTTTCTCTTCCTTCCCAGTGGGTACCAGTTAGTTGTTATTTTTGTCCATCTATCGTCCTTAAGTCTTTGAAGATGTCCTGCCCATTTCCATTTAGATTTAAGCAGAATCTTTTTTATATTCTTTGCTTGAGTGCGAAGTCTTATCTCTGAGTTTTTTATACGATCTTTTAGTTTGATCCCTAGATAGCTTCTCTCAATTGCTCTCTGTGTGGTTTCTATTCTGTTGAGTTGTTTCTTTGTAAGTGTCCATGTTTGACAGGCGTATGTCAAACATGGAGTTAGACATACTTCCATAGCTTTTGTTTTCAGGTTATTGGGGAGGGTACCCTTAAATATATCTCTCATACTCCAGTATTTTTTCCATGTGTTCGTTATTCTTCTATTGATCTCTTTGTCCATTCCATTGCTAAATGAGATTTGATGTCCAAGATAAGTGTACTCATCTACATATTCAA